ATATATATTACATTTAATACGTATTTAATACGTACGTACGTATTTAATTTTAATGTATATGAATGTTTAATTTAACCAGATCATACCAGATCATGCATACTCATCATGTATCGATTGTTTTTATCGATGATTAAAAAAGGGTAGTGTTTAAATCTTATGTAAAATTGTACTAATCGCTATCTAAAGTTTTTATCTATGTAGAGTATGTTTATAGAAAAGAAATAATTTTTATTGCGAAACGTGTATATCTATCATTTACAAAGGATATATATACAAAACAAATAAAATGAATATAGCAAAAAAAAAAAAAAAAAAGAAAAAAAAAGGAAAAAAAGATTTGTACAAGAAATTATGCAAAAGTGTGTGTATATATAGTGTCTTACGAGAAAACTTCGTATAGATTAGAGTATTAAGAATTATAGATATTGAAAATGGTAGAGCACGAATAGAATTTTAAATTGCGTAAGAGAATTGACAATGAAACGCATTGATGTCAAGTGTAAATTAAACACTTCAAATATAATAATAAGAGTATATAATAATAATATAGTGTCCAGCACCAACAATTCAAAGTTAACAGCCAATGACATCTCCAAAAGCGAGTGTGGAGGAGTAATGTGTTGTATTATATTTAAAAATCGGGGTCAAACTCGATATTGAAATTTCAAAACACAACTTCCTAATCAATAATTATCCAGAGAAATTATCGTCATGCTCTTCACCTATTTCTGAAAAAACTCCTTCCTCCTCCTCACCAACATCTTCAGGTTTAATACCATGAGTCTCTTTATAGATTCTTTCAAAAGATTGACACAAATTTTTAAGTCCTAATAAATATCCCTTGTCGCAACCTTCATGTGGTGGATTCAAAAACTCTTCGGGTAAATAATCTTTGCCCGTAGTACAATGTGCGAAATCAATTATCTTAACATCTATGTCTCGTGGATTGTTCTCATCACCATCATAAATAAGCAATAAACTACTTCCGTAGAATCGGTAGTTCGAAAGTTTACGAATTATTTTTGCAAGACGGCGAAGTTTACGAAGAATAACAGGAATATGGTGTACTAAAACATGCTTGCCGTTATGAATAAAGTCAACTAATGAACTAAAGAATGTTTCATTATTTAAAGAACGGCCATAATATTTATTCTGAATATGAAATTGTTTTGTGGTTGATTTGTAAACCTATAAACAATAAAAAAAAAAAAAAAATATATATATATATATATTAAAACCCATATCCAATTGAATAATAATAATAATAATAATAATAATAATAAATACTCGCCTGCATGCCACAAATCCTAACTCCTAGAGTTTTACTCGTAGTTTGTGCACACTTCTTCATTTGATTTTCACGTTTCTTTGGCTTCGCATCGATCCCATATTGCCTTGTACCCATCTTTAGATCTAAAACACAAGGATATTTCAATCCACCAGTTAGATCTTCTAGAATAATAAATTGTTGCACATTATCAAGCGCTTCGTCTGATTTTTGTAACGAATAACAACGCAAAGACCAAGGGTTATTAATCGAAGTAGGCGATTGTGGAAGAGTGACTAGTTCCTCATCAGAATTTGTCTTTGTAGGATACTGTAAACGCAAAGCAGGTTGTGATGATGCTGAAAATTCTCTCGTGCTAAAAGCTGAATGCATATCAGAAGTTGCTTTCTCGTGAAAAAACCCAGTATGTGAAGTAGATTCGGTGGAAATTGGATAAGAATTTGATTTTTCTTTTTTCATAGATGTCATACTAGAAAAATGATCATTACTAGAACTACGGATTTGGCGACAATCAGTTAAGCATGTCGAAGTAGTATCACCATGATCATTACCAGATTTAGACGATGATAGGTCAGGTGAACCGATTCTTCTGGAAGCAACTGTCAATTTCTTCTGTCTCTTCTCGCAAGGAGAATCAAAAGTTAACATATTTTCAGACATTTCAGGTGTCCTACATTCAGACTTTCTTCGAAGGGTAGTAACATTAGTCATCGAATGCCTTCTTCTAACGGGTTCTTTCTGTAATGCTTGAATTTGGCGCATCCTAGCACGTACAACATGAGGTGAGAATACCTCTTGCAAAACTTCATTTTTTAGATCTTGATTCACTTTTGAAGAACATAAACTTGGAGCACTAGATACCGAAGGTATTTTATTATTCTCTTTATCAAATAATCGTTTGTTGTCATCACTATAACGATTATCAAATGAATTAACTCTATTGAGCATCCATTCAGGTAAAAGATGTTTATTTTGTTCAAAAACAACTTCTGGCATTGATTTTACGTCACCATCATGAGCACGATTAATCACATTAACAGTACCCAAATATTGGGGAATGAATGGTAAAAGTTCAGGATGGGATTTTTCAAGGAGTTCATAAAAATAATGTTCCCTTGGTACTGAAGGTTTGCAAACTGCTTTTTGAGAAAATCGAAAAAAAGAGGTGTGACCACCCACTTGATTATCAAATGGTTTCAATTGAACCGATGCTGGCGATGATGGGTTATTAAAAAATCTATCAATCTCATCATCATCATCATCATCATCGTCGTCAAAGTCTTCAGTAGAATCCTCATTACTATTATTATCCCAATCCGAAACGTTAGCGGATGTATCCCCATCACTATTCTCTGGGGTATTGTAAATGTCCTTAGCAGACATTTTCGGAGTTACAGAACTAAAATTATCAGTGATTGATAGAGTTGAATCATTCATTTTTAAATCGGATTCAGTGGAAGCCTCAAGCAAAGATACTCTTTCGGGTACACAAAGAACAACTTTTGATGAATCATCAAATAATCTTTTTGAGGGAATATGCTGAGAAATTGAAGATATATCGTGATTATCGTGTAGAGGTGATGATGCCAACTCAGAAGAATGTTTCCCGTCATCATCAGTATGTAGCTTACGGAGACACCCAGATGATTTTTTTGAAGGAATAGGATTTGTTGATGCATTAGTCAGTGAAGGTTGCAGTTGATCCAATGATTTTTTAGATGATTCTTGTTGAGATGCAGTAGATCGTCGTCTACAATGATTATTGCTATTATTATTATTATTATTGATGGCGTTTGATAAATTTGACCTTGATTTTTTTTTTAAAAAAAAGAAAAATGACGCATATTTTAATAATGGATATTTAATAAAGGATACAATGAAAACTCATACTTGGATTATCAGACATTAAACAGCATTGTCAATTCGTAAGCTGTAAGTGAATATATCTATTCAGTCTGATTATCCCATAGTAAATCCCCAAGATTAATCAATCGATTGAGAGTTTATAAAGTAAGAATAAATACCTTGATGAGTTGTCGGATACATGAGGAGCAGAAGTTTGAAGGGTATAATTGTTAATTGGTACCATAGGGGACATATATGATTCATCAATTGAAGCAGTGGTAGTGCTTTTACGATGGCTAACATAGTTTGTATTGAGAGTTGAAGTTTCCGTGAGAGTAAGCATCGAAGCGAAAATTCTACGTGCTCTTAATGTCCGTGTTAAATAACAGTCGTACAGATTATTATTATTACACTTTAATATATTAGTCTAAAAAATTTAAATACAAAAGTCTTTATTAACACACAGGTCTCGGAGACATTCTTAGCGAGTCAAAAAAAAAAAAAAAAAAAAACCTTCGTTCACGAAATTGTATAATGTAAGTTCCCACGGCCTTCTTTTTTGTTTCTTTTTTTTTCTTCACTGTGAAAGTAAAAAGCGCGTAAAAACGGGTTTGAAATTGGTAGATAAACACCTTTATTATTGAATAAGGTTTACGATTATTTTACAAGTTTCTTGCAAAGTTTCGTCGCCTAAAGATAAGAATGCAAAGAGAACGGATGGGAGAGTGCCTTTTATCTCAAATTTGGATTTTAGCCACAAAAAAAATATGTTGCGTGATATACGTGTAACGTACTACGACCAGTAATTAAGGGTCAGTGTTACGCAATAAAAATTACGGAGTTGATGCACTAAACTACGGTTCATGATGACATTCGGATATGTATCGAAAATAGTGAATCTTCACAAAAAGCAAGACCTTATCAAATTCTAGAACGCATTTGCTTTGTCAGAAAAAAAAGTAATTATTTTAATAATCATGGTACAGCAAAAAAAGGGTATCTAAGCGCAGTTATTATTGCATCGCAGTAATGTATTTGTAACTGAGTATGAGCATCCTAATCAAGGGTTTTAAATCGCAGATATATGCAACTGACCAATAAATATGCACGCACATACATATGTAAAATAAATAAACATCTCGGTTAAGGTTATACAATTTCAAGTTTTGAGTTCCTGGGAACCACCTAAATTGCACCACTTTCCATCATTTTCATCTACACTCGTGATCTAGAATTTCTAAATTTTATAAATAGGTTAGACTGAACACAATAACACGGGAGTATATTTTTAATTGTTTTATATATAGTTATTGTCAAGAATCGATACGGACATATGTACGTATGTACGTACATATCGATATGATTATATATATTTATATATATTTGAAAGTTTTAGGAAAAATGTACATAGTTTCAAAATATTGTTATAAAACGCCAGTTATGTTTTCGAAAGAATTTGTTCTTGAATAGGAATTGATTAACCTTAATCTGTGTAAACATCTCTTGTGTAAACGGATGGGGTAAGATTGCCTTATCTGCTCATTCATTTCATCTATAAAACGATAATTATTAATTCCGAATACTTTTACGAAGAGACTTTACGTACTACACAATGCATACGTACTGTGACAATTAATCCTTATCATTGAAATTACGTTAATGTCGAGTGCTTCTCTGAATGACATTTCATACTTAATGCAGTAGTTTAATTTCTCGTCGACTATTGGATGCACTTTCTTTCCTGAATTGGTTATTGTTAAGTTATTGTAAGTCATCAATAAAGTATTGATCTGAGATCTAGTTATTGTGACATCATACAGGTTTCAAAACCGTCGTTCTTGATTTTCATTATTTGTACTACTGTACGTAGTACATCTGGGTAATTATTTTTGAACTTTATATGCATCGATATCGATATGACATAAATAATAGCATTTTGGTCTGGATTCAAAAATAATTACCCACCCTTATAAAATTTATAACACATCCAAAAGCCAACAAACTTAAAAGATTTTTTATTAAAAAAACCATATTAAACCACTTTATATTTTAATATAATTTTTATTTATATTAATTATATAAGGCCAGGCCAAGTTAATTTTTTGGTTCTCATAACATAAAATTTTTGAAAGTGACCCGGCAACCCGGCAACCCGGCTTTTAATTTTATTTTATATATAAAAAAATAAAATTTTTATAAATTTTTTAGAAAAACCCAATATACTTAAAAAATTTTTTTTACATCTATTATCATTATCCTGAAGAATTTTCAGATGACTGAAATATCCTCTGTTTCATTCGGTAAATTACCTAACTTCTCGGAAACTATATTGCTGTCTCCGGATATTCAGTCCGAAAACAGCGATGTAATTTCCGGGAAGCTAGATAATTTACTGAATGAAACAGAGGATATTTCGGTCATCTGAAAATTCTTCAGGTGTCCTAGAAATAATGATAATAGCTGTAAAGGTTTGTAAAATTTGACCCGGCCGAGTTATGAGAACCAATTTATTGCAGCTATTATCACTATTTCTGGGACACCTAAAGAATTTTCAGATGACCGAAATATCCTTTGTTTCATTCGGTAAATTATCTATCTTTTCGGAAATCACATTGCTGTTTTCGGACTGAATGTCCGGAGACAGCAATATAGTTTCCGAGAAGTTAGGTAATTTACTGAATGAAACAGAGGATATTTTGGTCATCTGAAAATTCTTTAGGTGTTTCAGAAATAATAATAATGGCTGTAAGTTGGTATGGCCTAACTAATAAAATTATATTTTTAAAAGTAGGGCATTATTTAACAAGTATAGGTCTACATGTAGTACACAATTAAAACTCATTCTGTAACTTCCTGAGAAATGATTATTAGTTACACAATTGAAAATTAATAAATAAATATAAAAGAATATGTAAAAAAAAATTATTTTGTATATGCTATACTATATATATTACGAATATAAATAGGTCAACATCTTATACACATGGCTTATGGCTTTGTACAGATGCAACTAGTAATAGTATATTTATAACAGAATATACAATAATGTTAGATATATTTTTCTTTAGATTGAAAAATTACAAAATTATTCTTAATACTAATAAGATCATGCTCTATAGTATTTTGATTTATTTTTCTTTTTTGGCTTTACTTACTATTGTTTCTATAATAACCTCTTCTAAATAGTAGTTAAAAATTAAATTTGCTAACTATTTACAAAAATTAATATACAGTATTTTATATTTTTGTTACTAGAAACAAATAATAGTATACAGAATAGCTATTGTTATTTCTACTAAAAAAATTAATAAAAATTTTTTAATTTATACTAGTATATATACATGTCACATGTCGCTCTATAATATCTCTGGATTAGAGTTAATACCTGCATCCAGATTTAATGATTAAATCCGGATTTGATGGCTAAATCCGGATTAATGATTAAATCCGGATTTAATCATCAAATCCGGA